TACTCGTGTGTGTGTGTGTGTGTGTGTGTGTGTGTGTGTGTGTGTGTGTGTGTTATGAAGGTTGGGGATGTTCCACAGAACACATGTAGTGGTCTGAGGACAACTTGTGGGAGTCAGTTCTCTTCTTCTTCCTTGTTAGTCCTAGAGATTGAACTCAGGTTGTCAGGCTTGGGAGCAAGTGCCTTTATCTGCTGAGCTATCTGTCTCACTGGCTCTGATACTTCTTTTAGCTTTGATGCTGTTTGAGTCTAGACACAGGAAATACAGGACTAAGAGTGAGTGACATGGCGTAGGTCAGCAAAGAGAGTGGCTTGAGATGAAGTCTATTCCAAGTGTTGTGGCTTGGATCTTCTTGACACCAGCATTCAGTACTGGGTAGAATGGACAGTGACCTTTATTAGACAGAAGTGCACCGGGCTGCTCATTTATATTAGGACATTAGCGTGGCTGCTGTAGCGCTAGGCATTGATTGTGTCTGTACTCAAGTCAGAAACAAGGAAGATGGGGAGTTTTGAAGCTTCTTGTGTTCCCTTATTCCAGAGACAGGCAAGCCATCTCCCTACACCAGCTCTGTGAATTTGACCAGGATGGAGGAAATATCGGTGAGCAGTGATGAAGGCCCCTGTAGCATTCTCATGCCACCGAGATCTTGTTAGCAATGCCAGGAGGTAATCTGCTTGATTGTGCTGGTGGATATTTACTGTGAACACCAGATGAAGGACAGATCCCTGAGCAGCTTGTGGGGATTTGGATGTCACTTCTTTTGGCTCTTTTATGGTTCATTCCTTCCTCACGTGAGTGAGGACAGGAATGAGGCATCTCCCTTCCTCTCACTACAAACTTCTATGGAATAAGGGCCTGAGAATATGGTCACTTATAATATTGGTGCTGTTGGAGAGAAACCAGGGTGTTGGCAAAGATGAAATTGGGTTCTCTTTGATAAGAAAATAAAACTGTTAACACTTTTCCCAAGTTGGTGTTTTGGAAATCTTTAGAAAAAAGAAGTCTGGGGCTGGAGAGATGGCTCAGTGGTTAAGAGCACTGACTGCTCTTCCAAAGATACTGAGTTCAATTCCCAGCAACCACATGGTGGCTCACAACCATCTGTAAATTCTGTCTTCTGGTGTGTGAAGACAGCAACAGTGTATTCACATACATAAAATAAATAAATCTTTTTTAAAAAAAAAAAAGAAAAGAAAAAAGAAGTCTATGTAGGGTTGCTCTTGTCACATTGACAGTATCATATATATGTAGGTCCTGGCTCTGTGGAGTTGATAATTCTCCAGGATGGTGGCTGTGTAGGTGTGCCTTAGTCTACACTCGAGCCATCAGGAGCTCAGTGTAAAATGTTGTATGTGTCCCTACCCGTGCATTTCCTTAGTGTCCCAGTAGATCATGATGAGACCATGTAGGGGTGCATATAGCTCTGAACCATATGGACTTGTTTATGGTGTTGGAGCAGAGGAAGTTGTTACATTGTGGATGTCCATGTTTATGTAGGGGCATGTGTGTGGTTGTGTACAAGGAAGCCAGAAGATAACCTTGAATATTGTGCCTCAGGCATCCCATCTTTTTTGATATAGGGTCTCTCACTAGGACCTGAGCTTCACAGATTAGGCTAATTTGACTGGCCAGGAGCTCTGGGGAATCACCCAGTCTCTATCTTTCCCCAGTGTTTCTATTACAGATGTGAACCACTACTTCAGACTTTTTACATGGGCTGTGTGGTTTGAACTTAGGTCCTTGTATTATGCTTCAGTCACTTTACTGACTGTCATACTGGTCATTCTCTCCAGATCCCCTCATCTTTTCCTTTCTTCCTCTGCTCGACTCATTCATTCATGTATATATGTGTGCATGTGTGTATTTTTCTTTAAATTGTGTGTGTGTGTGTGTGTGTGTGTGTGTGTGGTGCCCCTGGAGGCCAGAGACATCTGATCTCTTAGGCAGTTGTGAGCTGCGTGACGTGGGTACTGGGAACTAAACTCTGGTCCTCTGCAAGAACAGTAACTGCCCTTAACTTCTGAGCCCCCGTTTCATATTTTTAAAGCGAGCTTCTGAGTCTTCTCTCCATGATGTGGGCCATGTGACCTATGTGACAACAGCCAAGCAATGTTATGTCCACTTTGCCACTCCTGTTGGGTTCTGTCTGTACTCTAAGGAACAACTGAGTATCTCAGGCTCATGTACTCCGATCTCCTTAAATATATCTGCAGAGGGACATTGCTCACATGCCTGTACCTTGTGCCCTCATACCCTATTTTATACCTCTTTGCTCTGTGGCCTGAACTGTTGTCTGAGCTATTGCCTGCTCTGTGTCTGTGTTTGAAAAAGAGAGGCAGGAAAGAGACTACATCACATTGCTGGGTCCCTTCCTGTGCCTGTCCCTGACTCTCACTGGCTCTCTGGTGAGGAGGGTCTGCTAGGCAAGCAGTATTTTCTTCCAGTGCCTCTTGCAGGCTTCCATTGCAAAATCCAGCACGTGGTTTCAGGGTGCAATTTTCTTGACCATTTTAAAAGTTAATTGTCTTAGACTGAGTGTTTAAAAATATCCTGTAGCATATCTGTAGTACTCAGAGCACGAATCAGAAGACAAATGCAGTTTCTGAGAAAGCTTCAAAGAAATAACTGGTTTTTATCTTTCTCTATCCTTTTCCGCTGCAAACCCACCAGGGTCTCCTTCTGAGCATGCTTGTTCTATAAATAGAACAGCAGGTCTCTTTGGGCAGCCCAAGCTTGCAGGCTCTGGTCTACTTATTGAAACATATTTTTGTGATTGTGTGTGTTTGTCTGTGTATATGGGTGATGGCGTAGATTCTGTTTTACTTTTGCTTTTTTTCCTCTTTTGTATGAAAAACTAGCAGCAGATACAAAAATACTTTTGTATCTCTTCTTTAATGATAATTTGTAGCTTTTCTGGGTTGGCATATTGGTTTTGTGGCCTTATTTTTATTTTGAAATTTGCACTTAGGAAAAAAATGGAAGCAGTTTCTTCCCCTTCCAAGGTAAGGAAGCTGAATTGGGGTGAGGTGGGATCTCTAAGTGAGACCTTTAATGTCCACAGGAGAGGTTCTCTCTGTGTGCTTCAGGCACTCGTGGATGGTTATATACAGATGTATTTAACAGGAATGCCATCCATGCAAGCTTGGACCTGGAAAGGGTACTCAGAATCAAAACTGGTTATAGCTCCTCTATTCTGCAGATTGGCTTGTGTCCTGGCCTTAGGTCCTTGTTCTGTTGTAGTGCATGCTAGTGACAGTAGCTGGATGTGCTTTTTTCTTGGATTGCGGCATCATGCTATGTTTCCCTTGATATTTTTTTTTTAACTGTCTGGAAAAGAAATAGGGTAAGTGATGCTTTCAGAAGTAAGAGGTGAAGGTAGATACTGTGAGTAACTGTGCTCATCAGCAGTTTAGTCTCAAGAGGACAGCTGCTATAGTACCAGGTAGGACCCACAGAGTACATTCTAGTGAGCCTGTGAGTAGATATGAGCACATGCATCCCACCCAGCCTAGAGGGTACCCAAGGAAGATGACTTGTGTCAGGAGGAGAAGAGGAAATCTCAGGCATCATATAATGGCCTAAGCTCTGCTGGACTGTGGGCCTTGAACCTGTCTCTGTATGTTTAGGGGGTAAAGGACCTGGGGTTTGGTTTAATATTTTTCTGTCTTTCTACCTTTCTTCCCCGAGTTACAGGATGGTGGAAACTTAGTTACACAGTGTGCTATCTTTGTATTTTGGCACATTTGGATGACCCAAGGTTTCTGTGTCTTGTTTACTCTGGTTTTATGGTAGGAAGTTTAAAGTATCCTCAGATGCCAAGTGGTGGTGGTGGTGGTGGTGGTGTATGCTTTTAATCCCAGCACTTGGGAGGCAGAGGCAGCTGATCTTGTGAGTTCCAGGCCAATCTAGTGTACAGAGCAAGTTCCAGGACAGCAAGGACTACACAGAGAAACCCTGTCTTGAAAAACTAAGAAAACCCCTGTCTCAAAAAATTTGAAAAAAATTTTTTTGAATGTCCAGGTGCTTCATACATACACTATTTTAAAAGTTGTTTAAAGGGCAAAGCTGCATAACTGTAGTATAAGGAAAATGCTGAATATGGAGTTGAATTCTTAGTCTTTTGGATTATTTATTATTATTATTTTTTCTTTGAAGTGCTAGGGATGGAACCTAGGGCCTTGAGTGTGCTAGACAAACATTCTATACTGAGCTGTACCAGGCCTGTTACTAGTATTGACTGCATTGGTGACTCTGAGTGGTTCAGGGCATCTGGCCATTCCTTGAGTGTTTGATTTCCAAGTAGAATGTTGGGATCAGTGTTCACTGGGAGCCAAGTACATGGAACCATGATCTGACTTGCTGTTATCTGAGCAGGGGAAGTTCTCTAGGGAGAAGAGAGTATTTCCTGTAGTATAATGGACTTGTTAGTATCATGGGGGTGGGGAAGTGGGGAATAGGAGGGGCAGGGATGAGTGTCAGATGCCTATGCTGACCTAAAAACCATGTACAGAGCTGAGTAGAACACAGACCTAGAGCCACACTGAAACTCAGAGCAGTGGACGTGAACAGTTTTGGCAACAAGATCCTGAGAAATGGCAGAAGGCCAGAGAACACGAAGCCAGGGCCAAGAATAGCTGAAAAATACCAAATGTTGAAGCTGGAGAATGCACTGGTCTTTGTTGTCCCCAGCTGCTGCTTCCTGGAGTCCCTCAAACCTCAGTCTCCCCTTTGCTAATCTGTTGGACATAGTTAGGAAACACCTTGGGTCTCTAAGGCATGGTCTGTTAGAGAAATGGTATGCCCCATGTCTCCCCCTTGGCAGCACAGTGCTTATACGGCCTGTGTTGAGGTCAAGGTCTGTGAGAGAATGAGAACTGTTCTTCTGGTAGGCTACTTGGCCCCTTAGGGGCACATATTGTTCATTTGTCATGACAGGCTGTTTCAGGGCGATGGACACCTCAGAAATGCAAGCTCACAGTGTGCTTCTGTGCTTTCAGACCATCCTCAAAGAGGGCATGCTGACCAAACAGAACAACTCGTTCCAGCGATCCAAGAGGAGGTACTTTAAGCTTCGAGGGCGAACACTCTACTATGCTAAAACTGCAAAGGTGAGGCACCGTTAGAGGACTACCTCAGGAGCCACATTTGGGTGCTCAGTACTCATGCACCGGATAAATGCCTGTGTACCAGTTATTTTTAGCTAGAGTTATTTGTTTATCCATTTGTTTCTTTTGGTCATGTTGGAATTGAACACAGGGCCTTGGATATGGTATTCAGGGTCTACCACTGAACTACAGCCCCATCTCATCTGGCTTGTAATAAATAGTAGGTGTCAGACTTTATTTGTCACTAAACATGCTTTACTTCTCATAAAAATTATTTTTGTTCATTTCCTCCTTCTCTAAAAATGGAAAAATGGTCACAGAACTAACTATATTACAGTTAGTTGTCTTTCAGAAAGATGGGAACTACAGGCTCATGAATCTTTTATTATTGGCTAAGAGCTATTCTGGTCATTGGGCATCGTAGTGTGTGAACAGAAATATGCGGGTCTTTATCTCTAGGTTTCCCAGCAGCTGACCTTGGGTGGTGAGTTCCAGGCTGTGTTAAGACTCAAAGCTGGACTCTTCAGGCAGGTATCAGAGGAGCACCTGGGATGTTGCTGCTCTGAACGTGCTGTCAGTCTTCAAACCCCAAGTGCAGGCTGGCAGGCCTAACATGTCTCAGTGTTGGTGGCAGTTCTAATACTTGGGCATTAAGAAAAGTCTGGAGTGATAAGCATCCCTAGAGAGTTAGTGTGCTGAAATTAGAAATGGAGCAAGGCAACATGTTTAGAGAGGGTTCTGACCACAGCCATGGTTATTTTAGTCCTATTGGCGGGGGTAGGGAGGGTTTTCTTAGTTGTTAGTCTTTCTTTCAGGGATTCCAGATAGAGATATCTTAGAATAGAAGGAACAGTAAAATAAACAGGAGTTAGGGGCTATGGCTTGGGCCTTAGTGGGGAGAGGAGCAGAGGGAGCCCCAAGATGTGGCTGGACTCTCCGGGACTAAACTCCTCATGCGCTGCTCCTTGGCTTTCTTTATGGTGCCGTGGGGTTTGTCTCTTGCCTCTATAGTATTTGTTTTAGTTGGAACTTTTCTCTAAATGTGTTTGCCGGAGAAACCCAAACCAGAGGGATCCTCTGACTCTGGATCTTGACTGGCTGTCTCACATCTAAAAGGGAAACACAAGAAAGGTCAGCATTGTTGAAATGTACCCACTAATGAACTCTAGAGTGAAAGCCACAGACTACCTATGATCCATGCTCTTTGGGAGAGGCAGGCAGATGGTTGCATGAATTTCATATGGTATATTGATCAGATGTTGAGGTTTCAAGGAACCTGGGCTTGTAGGGGTGGGTAGGGAGAATGTGGGTAGCACTGCCAGTGCTTGGATGTGCTTGCCCTGGCTTACCTGAAACCCTCTGTGTGAATCTCTCTCCAGTCGATTATATTTGATGAGGTAGACCTGACTGATGCCAGCGTGGCAGAATCCAGCACCAAAAATGTCAACAACAGTTTCACGGTAAGATTTTAAGTCACACCCTTATCCTTCTCCAAGGTTGCTTTTCTTTCTCATTGGAATGTGGCATGAAGTACTTCAGAGTTTCTCATCCCCTTCCTGATTGGAGTGATTTCTGGTAAATGTTGAATTTCATGCTGAAAGCAGTACTGTGTCTGGAGAATAATCAGAATTTGATAATGTAAGCACAGAGCAAGAAGGTCCAAATGAAATGTTTTTAATGTGTTGCTACTTATATATTAACATTTTTATACAGAGGCTTGCTTCCTTCTTTCTCTTTCTTTCTCTGTCCTTCCCTCTTTTTCTTTCTTTGATTTTTGAGGTAGGGTCACTCTATATAGTTCTGATTTCCCAAGAATTAGCTGTTCCAGGCTGGCATTGAACTCACAGAAAACTGCCTGTCTCTGCTTCCCAAGTACCTGGATTAAAGATGTATAAAGGATTACATTACCACACCTGGGTTATTTTTGTGGTAATTTGGGAAAACCAGAGAAAGCTTATATTAAGACAATTGAAAAGCAACTATAATTCACCCTCTCACAACATAGAATATTAGTATTTTGGTATTCTTCTTTTTGTTTTTTATTTAATGCATTTGAACCCTTTCCTTTCAGAATCTGTAACAGTTATGTAGTGGCTTTTTTTTTTCTCTCCAAAAGTTCTAAGACCTCAGAGGCAGCTAACCACTCACTCTGGTATTATCTTTGTTCAGTCTTTTTCTGTGTCCTTCTTGAAATTAGACTGATAATTTTCTTTTACATGTTTTTTTCTCTTGAAAACTTTTGATGGCTCTTCTCTCACAGTTGATCTAAATGTTCATATTATTTATATAATGTTTTCTTGTAAGACTACAACTTTGGCCTCACAAGCTGATGTTAGCACTATCAGGACTCGATCTAGTGGTAGCACTAGAACCTTTAAGGCATTTATTTCTATTACTAAGCTAGCTCATATACAAAGAAAGTATTTGTCCCATAGTTTCTCAGAGTATTGCTTTATAACTCAGTGAAGCTGCGTATCATCCTCATGTTAAGAGACTGAAGATTTTGGGTAGGTGTTGGTTTGTATCATTTTTGGTGTGGATGAATTGTTGATGCTGGTGTTGGACCCTCTGTATTTTCTGTTGGTGTAATTGCTGCAGGCTTTACCTGTGGAGAGTGTTTGTGCTTTTTCTCCATTAATTTTGTTGTTTATTCACTGACTGGGGAAAGGCATTTAAACTGTGTAGGTCAATGGTTCCCAACCTTTTAAATGTTGCAATCCTTTAATATAGTTCCTCATATTGTGATGACCCTCAACCTTTAAATTACTTTATAACAGTAATTTTGCTACTGTTATGAGTTGTAAGATGTAATGTGCATGCCTGATATGTAGGATATCTGATTTGTGACCTCAAAGGGGTCATGACCTACACTTTGAGAACTGATAATGTAGGTGAACTGTTCTTGGATTTGTGAATTTTTTTCCTTCCTTGAGAGGTTTCCTATAGTTCAGGCTAGCCTGGACTTGATAAGTAGCCAAGACCAACAATAACTGCTGATTCTCCTGCCCCCACCCACCTACCATAGCTGATATTATAGCCATTCACTATTTTGCCTGGCTTGATGTGATTTATTTAGTTTTTGTTTTGTTTTTCAAGACAGGGTTTCTTTGTCTTAGAACTAGTTCTGTAGACCAGGCTGGCCTTGAACTCATGGAGACCCATCTGCCTCTGCCTTTCAAGTGCTGGGATTAAAGGTGTGTGTCGATATGGCTCAGTGATTCATTACTTTTAAATTGTATTTTCTGTAGTACTGGGAATTGACCCAATGGCTTTGTGCATGCTAGGTAAGTGTTCTACCACTCACTGAACTATATCCCAAGACACTTTTAGAGTTGTTGTTTTTTTTTTTTTACAAGTTATTTTTTATTTTATATGTGTGTGTGAGTGCCTATGTATATATATGTGTGCTATGTCTATGCTTAGTGGGTATCAGACCCCTAGAAATTGGAGTTACAGATATTTGTGAATGCCATTGTAGGTACTGGAAATCTGGGTTCTTTGAAGAAGCAAGTGCTCATAACTGCGGAGATATCTTCCCAGTCCTTTTTTGGAGTTTTTAATAGGACCACTTGGTCCCCATTTGGCCTGGGACTTACTATGTAGCCTAGGCTAGTCTTAGTCTCCTGATGCTCCTGCCTCAGCATTTTGGGTGCAGAAATTTTGGGTATTTGACATCATACCTGGTTGTTGTCTTCTTCGTCTTTGTCTTCATTGACAACGACGACGACTACATTGTCCTCTCCTCCTCCTCTTCCTCCTCCTCCTCTTCCTCCTCTTCTTCTTCTAATTCTTCTTCTTCTTCTTCTTCTTCTTCTTCTTC